GAAAATTTAGAGGTTCTTTTGCAAAGGCTGTGAACAAATGTGAACAAGTTTCCGATCCCATTCAAGAGGGAGGGACAATGGGCAAAGGGTGGGCAGAGGGATGGTACCCATTCCACCACAGGTCTTTGCAAACCATCATTTTACCTCTCTCAGAGCTGCCGTGGGGCATGGTGTGGTGTGATTTTTTAAAGACATTTTTTGACAGTTTCTGCAAACTGTCACATTTGCATGGATTCACAGGAAGGAGTCACGGGTGCCATGGCAGGAATTCTCCTTTGGGATGCATGGATGTGTTGGTGTCATAGGGAGTCCTCTTCTGGGATGTATGGATCCATGGGTGTCATAGGTGCTTATCCCCTGGGATGCCTAGATCCAGGGGTACCATGGGAGATTATCCCCTGGGATGCATGGATCTATGGGTGTCATAGGGGATTTTCCCCTGAGATGCATGGCTGGCATTGGGGTTTGAAGGGGGTTGAAGAGTCAGTTGGGGGGAGTCAAATGTAAAAGGAGCTAGGGCAGGGAGGGAGAGAATGTGTGTGTGTGTGTGTTTATGCTGGACTAGGAAAGTGGGGAGGAAGGTATGTGTGTGTGTTTCTGACTGGATCAGCTGTTGCTCCCATAGAAATAAAAAAATCCTGCTTTTAGCAGCCCATTCCCAGGCACACAGACACATGCATGAACACATACAAAGAGAGAGGTCTCTATTGATGCAGCCAAGAATTGCATTGACTCTCTTAGCTGCTGCATCACATTGTTGACTTATGCTCAGCATGTGGCCCACTAAGACTTTATGCGTGGAATCCTGTTGGTGACATTTTAGAAACTATTGTGGATGTGTAGGCACCTTTAAGAACATTATGCAAGGAGGCATTCAATACTTGCTTGCACAGTGACTCTCCCACCCACAGGCTCATGGATTTTGTAAATACTGGAGCACATTCCCACAGTCAGGAGATGCCCATAGCTATGTCTAATTGTGCCATGGTCCAGTGCTACAAAATGCTGGGAATTGTAGTTCTGTGAGACCTTTAGCCTTCTCTGTCAGAGAGCCCTGGTGCCAGAACAAACTAGAATTCCCAGAATTCCACAGCATTGAGCCATGACTGTTAAAGTGGTGTCAAACTGGACTATTTCTGCAGTGCAGATGCAGCCTTCCATGGCCATGGTCCTTCACTGTACCACTACACCACATAGGTTCTGTAAATCTAAAAGGTAGTACTCTCTAGCAGAGAAGTCTAAAACCTCAAGTCTACCAGAGGTGATGGTCTCTGGACCAATGCCTGTCCACAGGCCATTGTCTGCCATCCACAGTTTCCAGAAAAGAAAGAAACAGTTGTAGCCAAAGGACCCAAATATTCCACTGGTTGCCCCATACATCTCATGTCAGATATCCAGAGAAGTACTAGTCTACAAACCTCACCAAATCCCAGGATTTCATGGGATGGAGCTGTAGCAGTTAAAGTGGCATCAAACTGTTACAACAGCGGAGAATAATAATAATAATAATAATAATAATAATAATAATAATAATTTATATCCCACCCATCTGCAGAGCAATCATATAGATGGGGAGAGTGTTCTGATAGCACTGCAGAGAATCCTGATAGCACTGCAGAGAAGAACATGTCTCACATGTTTTTGGCTGCTTGTCTTTTTTGGGGCTCACAAAAGGGCCTGCTGTATTGTAAGGTGACCAACTATGTGGCCTGCTGCATGCAAACATACACAAATAGCTCAAATGTGCCGGGGGGGGGGAACTGTATTTGCATAAATATATCAAAAATGACCCAGTATAATTAAACATGCCTTCTTCCCCCTTATCATTCCCCCTCTTTTTTTTTTGTAAATGCCCATTGGGTTGCTTTCCTTTTTACTAATACAGCTTGCATGCAAATGTCCCCTGCGTACAAAATTATACCGAGAGGTCAGATTAATTAAACTCCCTGTTGTGGCTGGTTGATATTTTTACAAATAGTTGTTTATCTGGATTCTTTTTTTTTCCCTTTCTCTTTTCTGTCCAGCTCTACAAACAAAGCACAAAAAGTTTTTTTGTATGTGTGAAAGGGGAAAAAAATGTGCGGGGGTAGCGGTGATGGAAATACTCTACGTGAAACATCGAAATATCTTTGTCTTTGGAATCAGCTGGAGTTTCAGCTGTTTGGGTTCTGAGCTTTTCCAGCATTATCAGGTTAGAACAGAACAAACACATGAATGGCTGACATCAGCACTAAACCCAGCAGGAAGCATTACTTTTTTCATTAGAATCTTTGAGCCTGAGATCAGACACGGGGAAAGATTAAAACAAATATGAATTTAATCAAGGGATTCTACTTTCCCGGTGTGGGAACAGGAACACGCTGACATAAATAGAGGGCCAAGCACCGGGGCATCTAAACCATATCAAAGGCAGCTTGCTTACCACTAACTGCTCAGATGATCCATATCATAACAACAAAAAAGAAAAACAATTATTTATTCTTTTTGATGTTTTCGGCTCAGAAGTAACTTCCTTTTTGAAGAGTGCAAGGTCAAAGCCAAGTTATTGTGTATGTTTCTTTTTCCAGTCCTCCCCTCCTCTCTGCAACTTTCCCTTGAAACTTTGTCAGGGAGGGCCTGAAAGTTATTAGGTCTGACCTACATTTGCGATCTAGGCATGGAAACTAATAGATGCTGGCTTTTTTGTGGGGGCGAATTGTCTCGCGTGGGGAAGGTGTTAATTATCAAAAGCAGACTGTATGTTACATCCATGCCATCGGCGGAAAATAGGTTATTACCAAGAGAAAAGAAAGGAGCGGACTTTCTGAAATGCAAAAGTAACCTTATGAAAAAGGCATTGCTGAAAGAGATGGTAAGCCAGTTTGGATGCAACAGTCAAGCCATGGATTGGTTGTTGTTTTTTGTTCACATTGTCCAATTTCTTTCTCCTTGGATACTCCAGTTCTTTCTCTGTCTTCCTAGGTTGCAGCAAACCTTGGTTCATCATTCTGGTCCAACTAGGTAAACAACAGATTGCATGTAACCTATTTGCTGAAATTCTACACCAAGAGGATGGCATGAACATGTTAAAAGTTGTAAATGTTCACACATCTATACAATGCCACTGTGTTAGTTAATTGCAACACTAAATGTGCATGCAGAAAGTCCTCTCCATCTATGCACACAATGTGCATTAGTGTGCATCCATTCACCATTCAGTGTGCACCATTACACATCCATGTGCATCCACGTGCAATGACACCACATGTACAACTCTGCTTCTGCATTCTTGAGCTGAATATGGCCATTTAGCATCAGACAAAAATGTCCATCAGCTTCTGCAGGGGAACTTACACATGCATAAGGCATCATCAGGATGCCAGCCTATTGTTTATCTGAAAACGAGAAACTGGAATAATTAACTATAGTTTCCAACTATAGTTGTATCAAAGTATCAACTATATCAACTTTGTATCAAAGTATTGTTTGCCCATATATAGTTCAGTTATACTTCAGCCATTGTAGTTCAACTATAATGGTGAGCAATTGTTTGCTATTATTATGCGGATTGGCTCCAGGCTATTTGAAGGACTGTATCTTCCTATATGAGCCCATTGAAGCCCTAGGATCTTTGGGAGAGACCTTTTTCTCAGTCCCACCATCTTCTCAGGCTCATTTGGTGGGAACCTTCTTGGTGGTTGCTCCCAGACTTTGGAACTCCCTCCCTAGGGAGGCCAAGATGGCTCCATCCTTGCTTTCCTCCCAATGGCAAGTAGAAACATTATTATTCCAGCTGACTTTTAGAAATTCGCTGTGATGGGATTTTAATGGTATGTTTTTGTTGGTTTGTAGTGAATTTTAATGGTTTTAACCTTATAGATTGTTTAACTACAATGTTTAAATAGTTTAACTAACTTGCATACATATACTCTTTACTGATTTTTATATAGATTTTAATGTGTGTTGTTTTAATATACTGTAAAGTACCATTATATGGGAGAAAGGTGGAACATAAATGAATAGGAGAAGAAGAGGATGGGAAAGAAGAAGAAGGAGGAGGGCATGCAGAGGGCTTGTTGTAAGAGAGAGCCTCCCAGTGTCTCCCCCCAATCAGTGTCAGCCAGTAGCTTCCATGTCAAATCCATTCTGGGTTTTAGTCCAATGCAAACTGCAGCTCCTGTTTGTGCTGGCAAAGACTGATGGCAGTTGTTGGTCAAAAATCTCTGGAATGGTCCTGCAGCCAAGCTCTGCTTTAGACCATGCCTGGGGGGGAAATGCTGTCCAAGGTGCTGAAGCCATTGGAGGTGGCTTTGTATGCCTTGGAAATCTCCTTCAAGTCTGGAATAAAAATCAAAATGAAACTACTGCACCCTTGGTATGGAAGCCTTTGGCCACCACTGTGTGGAATGCCCTGCTAAGGGAGGCTAAGTTGTCCCCCTCTCTGTTGTCCTTCTGTAAGCAGGCAAAGCCATTTTTTTTAATTCTGGCAAATTTAGGATTAGTAAACTAGCCTGTTGTTGAGATGATGGTAGCTTCAATTGCTTAGGAACCAGCATTGTCTTTCTCATTATAGCAACCCATTCAAACCAACAAGTCTCTCTTGCAGGTGGGTGATTTTTCTGGGACTTGATTCAGAAGTGGTGGACCATTACAGTTGCATTCAGTGCAAAGAAGCAGGTGTGGTTGATCTCAAGGCTTCAAGGCCAGAACAAAAAATCATATAGAACTACATTAGGACCAGCTCTGTCAATAGGCACACTGAGACAAACAGTCAGCAGATAGTTGGTTAATTCACTTTACAATTATTGAGCTTTTACTGCCAGCATAGGGAGAGGCGCATATGGGATCTTCTGTCTCATATGTGTATATTGTGTGCCTTCAAATTTTTTCAGCTGTCTGGTTACCCTAAGGTCACCCCATCATGGAGTTTTCTTGCCAGAATTTATTCAGAGGAGGTTTGCCATTGCTTTCCTCTGAGGCTGAGATAGTGTGACTTCCCCAAGGCCACACAATGGGTTTCATGGCCAAGCAGGGAATTGAACCCTGGTCTCAAGTCATAGTCCAACACTTAAACCACTACACTACACTGGTCCATGTACACAATCACATTATTAACTTTGGTTGGCTTCCATTTGGGGATGAAGAGAGGGTGTTATTGGTGTTTCTGCTCCAGGTAGCAAAGTATGCTGGGGCATTTCTGTTTATATAATGCAGTTTAACACAACAACTAGAGCTCTCCAACAGAGAAGGCCAAATATCACACAAAACAGCACATCCTAGAATTCCACCGCATTGAGCCATGGCAGTTAAAGCAGGGCTTTCTACAGTGCAGATTAGACCTTAGACCGCAAAAGCCCTTAAGCTAGTTTACTGCTCAGCCATGAAACCCAGTGGGAGACCTTGGGCAAGCCACACTCTCTCAACCTCTGAGGATGGGAATGGCAAACCCCCTCTCAAGAAACCTGCCAAGAAGACTCCATGAAAGATTCACCTTAGGGCCACCATAAATGACTTGAAGGCACCCAACAACAACAAAAAATTTACTCAGAGTTATACATAGTCAACTTGAAGCAACTGCCACCTTCTATGTACCTCCTTTTCCACAGCAGTGGATGGTGACTTCTGTGTTAGTGGGGTAGTGAATCTGCTCATGGAAAGTCAGGCTGAATGTCAAAGGAGCTATACTCCATGAGTCCTATCCTCAAAATAGGTTCAGCCCATTGTGAAGCTCTAATAAAGTTCAACCTAAACCTGGAGCAGATTCACCACACTATTCTCATGGGAGTCACCCACATGCAATGGGTTGAAGCAGAGGGAGAGATCTCAGCCTTGTGTTACTCTTCAGCTGTAATGCTTATGTGTCTTTGAAAAGATTGCTGAAGCATGTGACGGAAGGGTAACTAATCTAGTTGACAGCATGGCTTTCAGTATGGAATGAGGTAAGTTTCCTGTGTAAGATTTGTCTGGTAAAGACACTTAGAACTTTATAATATTTTGGCATGGGGGGGGGACAAGAACAAAGCTCTTTTATCTCTGCTGCAGATTAAATACATTTACATCAAAGTAGTCTTCTCCTCACTTGGTAACTGCAACTTATAAAAACAGTCAGCTGAACAAATAGGTTTACAGCATCTATGGCTTAGGAAAGCCGGATCACCTCCTGTCAACTCTGCTGTCAAACAAGGTCCCTCTACAAGCAAAAAGCACAAAGACCACCCAGAGAAATGGAAGAGAAAGAAGAGCAAATTAGAATAAAGAGTGGCCAAGATTGAAGATATGTATTGGCCAAAGGGTGGAGACAGCTGCTACTTCAAGCTTCCAAATTATCTGAGAGATCGCCTCCTTCTATATAGACTTTGCCAGGCTGTACATTGTGATGAATGGTTGTGCTTCTTATATCAAGGCCCAGTGAGTCCAGGATGGTTATGTTGTAGAGAAGGACATTGTCAATTGTGCCATCTGCCATGTGGAATTAACTTTCCAATGAGATGGGGAGGGTTCCCAGTCCTGGTTGTTTCCGCCGTCAGCTAAAAGTCTGTTTGTCCCACAAGCATTTTTCTATTTATTTTCCTGATTTTTAACATTTCATACCCTCCAGCAATCCTTTCCAAATGTCACAGTTTCTCTCCCCACTTCCTACATTCTTGCTTCATCTTCAACTAACTTCAATTGCTGCAAAGTGATGTCAAACTGCAAAAGTAGTTTGCATTCAGTTCAGCAGGAGGAAGCCGAGAGGAGGGGGTCAAGAAACACTAACGCTTGAAAATACTGCCAGTCATCAATGGTTGGTCAGAATGGTTGCAAGCAACAAAGATGCCAGGGAGCTGCTAGGAGATTTATAGGCAGCTGTCTCCAAACACCAGGGGATTAATGAGTCAGTGTCTCCAATTTAACAGCCACCGGGATTGGTGTAATCTTTGCTTATTCCTTTGACAATCTGCAAAGGATGGCAGCATGTCTTCAGCATTTTCCACCTCAACTGGGAAGCAGGGTTCCCCATTGCCTCAGCCCCCAGCTCCTCAGACTCAGAGACACCACTATCATCAGGAGCTGTAAATTCCTGGACATCTGACTCTTCTGAGTCTGAATCATCTGATTTCAGAGTTACAACATTCTTTCTCTTTCTCCTTCTTCCACCTCCTGACCTTCTCCTCCTGCTGCTGCTGTTGTTGATGATGATTTTAAAGTAAGTCCATTATCCCATTCTGAGCTCCACCATGAGTTGTCAGGTGCCTTCAAGTTGATTGTCATGTATGGCTACCCTAAGGGAAACCTATAAGCATATTTTCTTGGCCAGACTTGTTTAGAGAGTGTTTGCCTTTCTCTGAGACTGAGAGAGTGTGACTTGCCCAAGGTCACCCAGTGGGTTTCCATAGCTGAGCAGGTATTTGAACTCTAGTCTCCAGAGTTGTAGTCCAATGCTCACACCACTACACCATGCTGCCTCTCACATCACCATGAGTCATAAACCCCAATATAATAAAGCAAATGAATTTAAATAGACAAAATAAAGAAGAAAGTTGTTTCATCTGTTTTTGGAAAGTAATGTTTGTTTTTTAAAGTCTTGACGGCTTTACCAATATCTAATCTTGGAAAAGTTACCTTTTGGATTACAGCTTCCAGAATCCCCAAGCCATGACCATTAGGAGATGTCCAAATAATTTTACAAAGTTCTGCCAATATGATTTTTTTTAAATGTGTCTTTGCTTTTTTAACAATTTGTATAGAAACACACTGAGACTGCAGTCCTGAGCTCAGGATTGAACTCAGTGGGACTTATTTCCAAATAACAATTTATAGGATCCAGCTGCCAGTTGATCTTAGGGATTGTGATGGAATCAATAAGATACATAAGGCTCAAAGTTATGGCCTTTCTCAGCTAGCTAGTAATTTTTATTGCTTTTTAGAGAAAGGCCTTAGCCAAATACATAACATAAACAAATATAAAATGATACAAAATATAGATTAGAGATTTTTAAGCATCATCTATGTGTACTACTACTAGTGCTGTTCATAACATGTTAGCTTAATATATATAACTTTTAAAAACCCTAGACATTCAATAGTTTTTTCTGTCAAATACAGGAATGGAATTGACAGGTGGAAGAATCATAGAGCAGGAAGAGACCACAAGGGTCATCCAGTTCAATCCCATTCTGCCATGCAGGAATACACAAAGCACTCTGAACAGATGGCCATCTAGCCTCTTTTTTAAAACCTCCAAAGAAGATCAAGTAGATGGCAGAACACCCAGCCTATCGTCGTCGTCGTCATCATCACCATTGTTTGCATCTCACCTTTCCCCCCTTTTCCTATATTGGGGGGTGGACAATAGGGAAAAAAACTCATTCAAAAACCCCATCTGTAAAATGAGTACATTTGCTTATCCTGTTCTTTAAAGCTGGGGAATAAAGCATGCAGGAAGACACAATCAAAGATTCCCAACAGATGGCCATCCAGCCTCTGTTTAAAAACCTCCAAAGAAGGAGACTCCACCACTCTCCAAGGTAGCGTCTTCCACTGTCAAACAGCTCTTACCATCAGGTCGTTCTTCCTAATGTTTAGGTGGAATCTCTTTTCCTGTAGTTTGAACCCATTGCTCTGTGTCCTGGTCTCCGGACATAGGACACAGAAAACAAACTTCCTCCATCCTCAATATGACATCCTTTCAAATATTTAAACATGGCTATCATATCAACCCTTAACCTTCTATTCTCCAGGCTAAACTTATCCATCCCCCTCAGCTGCTCCTCATAGGGCATGGTTTCCAGATCTTTCACCATTTTGGTCATCTTCCTCTGGACATGCTCCAACTTGTAGATATACTTCTTGAACTGTAATGCCCAGAACTGGACACAGTATTTCAGGTGAGGTCTGCCCAAAGCAGAAAAGAGTAGTACTTTCACTTCCCTTGATCTAAACACGTCACTTCTATTGATGCAGCCAAGAGTTGCATTGGCTTTCTTAGATGTTGCACCACATTGCTGACATATATTTAGCCCTGTGATTCCACTAAGACGTAATGTCGGGAATCCCATTGGTGACATTTTAAAAACTATTATGGTTGTGTAAGCACTTTTTAGGATGCAAGGAAGCATTCAATACTTACTTGCATAATGACTGGCCCTACAAGCTCATGGACTTTTTAAATACTGGAGCACATCCCCACAGTCAGGGAAAGGTGTTAGATGGTCAAAGCTGTATCTGGTTGTGGTTCCATAGCTGGTGGGGAGGTAAGATGTAATCCTCCCAGATATCCAGTGAATGTGTCTGGGCACAGAAAAGTTTGGGTGCAATAGGATGGGGTGGAAGGTCAGTGAAAAAGCATTACACTGATGAAGTGTCTGAGCCCCAGTGAATCACCATATTCAAGAAGCTTCCAAAGAGTGATGGACCTGAGCTGCACATAACCAAAAATACTAAGCACACACAGAGCAGCCAGCCATTTGCTGCTGTTGTTCTTCTTGTTGTTATGTACCATCAAGTTGGCTTTGACTTATGGCAATCCTACGAATAAGAGCCTTCCAGCAGAGTATTGCATTAACAGTCCTGCTCAGGACTTTGCAAATTCAGAGCTGTGACATCCTCAACTGAGACAATCCATCTACCATGTGATCTACCTCTTTTGCTACTGCCATCTGCTATGTTGAATGTTATTGTCTTTTCCAATAGATTAGGTCATCACATGTGTCCAATATACAATAGACTTAATTCATTCATTTTGGCTCCTAGGAAGAGTTCAGGCTTGATTTGCTCTAAGGCTCATTTATTGGTCTTTTGGGTGTTCCACAGTATCCATAGAGCCCTTCTCCATCATCACATTTCAGATAAATGTATTCTCTTCCTGACAGCTTTCTTCACTGTCCAGCTTTCACATCTGTACATAGAAACTGGTAATAATATAACTGGAAAATCCTGGCTTTGTTATTCAGTACTCTCTTGTTACACTTGGGGATCTTATCCAGTTCTTTCACAGCTGCCCTTCCAAGTCTTAGTCCTCTTCTGATTTCTTGCCTACAGCTGCCCACTTTAGATGCCATAAATAAACATCTAGAAGTCCACTACACTTCAACACAGAAATAATTTTTATGG